CTCCGTGCCTGAGGCTGGCTTCAAACTGGCGATCCTCCTGCCTCAGCCTCTGGAGCCACTGGGATGGGGTGTGAGTTTTTAAGGATTCTGCAAAAAATATCTGAGACTTTAAAATATTTATTGTCCACCAAATGGGAAAAGAAAACTGCAAAGTTTAGATGAATAAATGTCGACTGTCTACAAAATGGAACACGAGGCCAGCTGCACTGATCACTGTGTTTGGTGTATACGTGTGTCACTGTGCGTGACAGCAACTCCTCAGCGGCACCTGTCACGCGGTTGGTGTTCCCGAGCAGGGAGATCCTAGGTGAGGGCGCGGCCAGCTACTCGTTAACCAGCACCTGGAGCCGGACAATTCCAAGAGCAGGATGTAGAAGTGTTCTATTTAATGGGGCGTTGGCCCATCTGTGCAGAAGCAGGGACCCTGACCGTCCTGCGCCACGGGCCTGGCCGGTCCACCTGCCTGGGCACTGGAGGTTCACCCAGGGCCAGCCTGGCACCTTCACCACGGCGAGGAGGAGGCGGGCAGAGCCTGGTCCCTGCACCCTCCTGCCCACGCCTCGGCAGCCAGGGCTTCACAGCCGGCTGCCACCTGCCACCAAGGAAAGTCTCTGGAGTCAGACTCGGACTGCAAGCCAGTGACCTGGGCTGTCGGATCAAAGCCACAGGCTTGACCGGGGGACAGCAAGGTCCTGGGAGAAGGCTACTGGGCTGCCGCATTTGGCCTGGCCCTGGCCGGACAGAAGTGTCTTGAAACCACCCCTTAAAAGAATGTCCACGACTGGACCCGTGGCCTCTCCCCAGGTCAGCGTGAGGTCTTTGGTTCTGCCGCGAGATGCTGTGTGACCTTGGGTGAGACACTTTTCCTCTCTGAGCCTCAGTTCTTGACAACTGAGAGGAATGGATCGTCCCCTTGAATTGTGGGAGCAAGAAGAAGTCTGTCATCGAGATCTCCCATTGTATGGCTGAAAAGAATGAGGGGCGGAGAGAAGGCATCTGTCCTGGAGAGGGGACAGAGTCAGGCTGAGCCCCGCTCCTCATTCCCACCATGCAACCCCACTTCCCATTGCCGTTTCCCCTCCCCTCCCCTCCCTCCAGGGCATTACCCAGACCCCCCTCAGGAGGGGTCTCTGCTGTCCCTCCCCCAGCCCCGAGTGAGCGCTGGGTGTGGAGCAGACCTGGGCTGAGACCCCCGGCCCAGGAGGGTCACCTGCTCTGATTCTGCAACACGGAGCAGAGGCAGCGGTCCCCTGGCCGCCAAACCCAGGGCCTGGGTCTCCTCTGGGGAAGTCACCCTCCTGCCTGTCCAGGAGAGAGTAATGAAACCCGTGGTTTGTCACTA